TGGGATAACAAAACTTAACTTTATCCACCTTTTAAGTAAAATAGGTATAGAGATAGCTTATGTGTTGACTGTGTATGTAGTTTACAAACCTATCGATTTTACTTGCTTTAGAACTTTTAATTTCAGATACTTAAGTTCTTCCCTGCCTTCAACTTTTTTCTTTTTAACTATGACCAATTTTTTGGTCTCCAACAAATGTCACATCTTCTGAATTACAAAAAAGCAAAACAAAAATCCCTCTTTTCTACTTAATATAAACTACTGAAATTCAAACTCAAGATATGGAACAGCAACAAAATACCAACCCATGCTGCCTTCTTGATTATCGGTTATTTCTTCATCAGTCCTTTGGATTCGTTTTTGTTTCCCTCTTGTGTACATATTAAGGTTCTCCTAAAAAAAACCCATTAATATTTAGTACTTTCATTAAAACAAAAATTCCACAGGACCTGCCTAGTCTTGCTTAAAATGAAGATATTTACAAGTGATAAATTCATACAACTTCCCAGCTACTAGGTACTTATCAAATAAACACTAAGCAAAGATGTGACTAATGTAACAAAAAAATGGATTGGTATTACAGAAAAAAATTCAACTGGGAATTAGTAAATCACTCCCTTAATGAGATAGTATCTTTACTTCTTCAGTTTCGTTAAAGACCCCCAGGTCTTCAAGCTCTCTCATTCGCTGTCTGCGCATCTTCTTCATGTCATCCATTTTCTGAAGTACAGCTTCAGCAGTGCTTAAAAAAAAAAAAGAGAGAGATAAACATTAACTAAAGTGGTAGTATATTTTTCAAACCTAAAACATTTTCATGCATTATAATCTTTGGGAGCCAGGATTTTAAATATCTCTATAAACACTGATTTACATGTTAACATAGGTTTATTTTCCAAGCATTTAAAAATACAGAATTATTGCACAGCACTTTCCTTTATGCTTCAAGCAAACAGGTGTATTATGTGTCCATAATTCATGATGCTTCACCCCCGCCCTTCCTACATTCTTTTTTTTTTTTTTGGGTCAAATAAGTTACTATAATCTAAAGATTTTTTACTTACTTTGTTATAAGTTTATCAAACAGCACGGACTGGTTCACAGTACTGTAACGACTTCTAATCCTGCAACTGCGGCGAACTTCAACATCCCCTTTCTCCTCCCGTAGGTGTTCTGAAGTCTGAATGATGTTTCTGTTCCTCAGTGACTGGGTAACTGGAATTACTTTGTCTTCACAGACGTGTTCAGAAAAATTAATGGAAAGATTTGATGAAATAATTGTGTTTACAACCATTCTAAAAGTCACTTATATACCAAAATTACAGTATCTTAAAATTATCTATCTTAAAAATATTTCCCCAAAAGCCAAATTCCTTGCCATTGAGTTGAGTCTGACTCACAGCAAGCCTATAGGACCAGAGCAGAACTTCCCTCATGGGTTTCTGAGAGTAAGTCTTTAAGGGGGCAGAGAACTGCTGACATTATGGTTAACATCCCAACATGTAAATTACTACTCACTCCACAGGACACCTTTTAAAAACATGATAGAACAAAGTTTTAAAACTACGGTATACACACCATATGATGCAGCCATTCAACCCTCAAGGGTAAAAGAAATACATGTAACATAAAGACATGTATCTAATCTAATCTAAATGTTCAAAGCACCTTTCCTTGTGATAGCCAGTAACCCAAAAGTCCATCAAAGGATGAATAGATAAACTGTGGCAAATATAGCTCTATAATGGAATGGAATACTACTTAGCAACAAAAAGCAAAAACATGGATAAATCTCAAAGTAACTATGCCAAAAGAAACCAGACAAAAAGGATGCATACTGTATTATTACACTTATATAAAACTCTAAAAAATGTGATGAAAGTAACCACAATCAGATTGGTGGGTAGGCTGGAGTCTGGGGGAGGAAGTGGGCATGGGGAAGCATTGGGCCAAACCACTGCTGCTCCATAGGTTTCCAAGGCTGTATATCTTGGCAGAAGCAGACTGCTTCATCTTTCTCCCTTAGAACCAAAGGTGGTTTGAAGCCACTGACTTTTCAGTTGACAGCCTAATGCTTACTCCACAGTGTCACAGAACTTCTAGGAGAAGATAAATGGGAAGGACTATAAAGGGTCATAAGAAAACTACTGGGGGAGATGAATATTTATCTTATTGTGGTGATGGTTTCATGGGCATATCCTTATGACAACACCTAACAAATTACATATACTTTAAATATGTATATATATCAATAAATCGTAAAAAATTTAATTACATATTTGAAAAGTCTGAAATACCTTTAAAATTACATACCTTCTTTGCACTCTCCTTTTTTTTTATCAGCCTGTTGTCTGGCCAATTGCCTATATGGGAAAAAAATTAAATAGTTCAAATAATTAACATAGCCTTATATTCTATATCCCATAGTTTTATAAACTAAGACAAAAATTTAAATCAGGGAGAGGGAGGGGATAAAGGGGCGCTGATATCAAGGAGTTCAAGAACAAAGAAAATGTTTCAAAACTGATAGTGGTAGCAATTATACAATATACTGTTTGATATGCTTGAAGTGTGGAATGTTATATCTGTAAGACCTCTCAATAAAATGATTTCTAAAAAAAGTTTAATCAGCTTGGAGAATAATACCTGTAGATATCTAACATATACTAGAAAAGTGGCTTGAGAAATGTGAGGGGG